CATTTATTTCAGTAATGCAACTTAAAAGGTGAAACTAATATATGAGATAGACTCATTACATGCAAAGCAAGATAGTTCAAGCCGTGATTTGTCAAAATTGTGGGCATGCACACCCCCGGGGCCAACAGGAGTTCTGTGAGCACGCATAGATATGCGCATTCCCTGACAGAGGGTCAATTGATACAAAAGGTAGTTTAGGAGTGTACAAAATTGCATAAAATACAGATAAAGGTAACATAGATAATGGACACAACTCATATTACATACCGGTAATCAGTCATAGTCGTAATCATTCATATCTATCTATCTATCTATCTATCTATCTATCTATCTATCTACATATATCTATCTATCTGTCTGTCTGCCTGCCTGTCTGTCTACATATCTACATATCTATCTATCTACAGGTGAAACTCGAAAAATTTGAATATCGTGCAAAAGTTCATTTATTTCAGTAATGCAACTTAAAAGGTGAAACTAATATATGAGATAGACTCATTACATGCAAAGCAAGATAGTTCAAGCCGTGATTTGTCAAAATTGTGCGCATGCGCACCGCTAACTGGCCACAAGCGGGGCCAACAGGAGTTCTGTGAGCACGCATAGATATGCGCATACCCTGACAGAGGGTCAATTGATACAAAAGGTAGTTTAGGAATGTACAAAATTGCATAAAATACAGATAAAGGTAACATAGATAATTGATACAACTCATATTACATACAGTCAGTCATATTTCATAATCATGTTAGCAATCACAATACTACCTCTTCCTGGTTAACTCTGGTCCAGAGGGCACAGAGGAGTAAAAAGGGGAGATAATCAGAGGGTAAGATAGCAGTATAGGAGTACAAGAAAGTCAGAGAAGGTAGGGGAGGAGGGGTAGAATAATCTTAACAATAACTGCCCATACACTGCAGATCGGATTGATGAACAAAGGATGAAATATTGCACATATAATATATATTGCATATATAAAAAACATCTCACTCTGCCAGACACCTTCACACCTTTGACTCAAAGTTAAGAGAGCAAACTCATGAGGTTTGAAAGGGACAGGCCGGCCCTGCAAGGGCTTAACCCAGTATTTTAGAAGGGCCTGCCGTACCACATGTAAGAGAGGAATTGTAACGGATCCAAGTTGTCCACACACAATAGAACTTGCCGTATCGATCTTACAGGTAAACACCCACTGTTCAGAGCACCAAGTAGAGTTTAATGTACTTTTTGAAGAGAAAGTCAACCCAAACAGCAAAGGTTATTGTTCTGCTCCACTTTAATGTATTTTTTATGTCTTGTATTGAAATGCATGAGGTTTTTGTTTTTTCATAGTATGCTGACATCTATTGGTGGTTTTTGGACCACCACAACTTGTTTACTAATGTGACATTGGTATTTTCCTCTGTCCTCCCCTTCTGTTTAGGCCTAGTTAATTTAGTCCTAGCTAGACTCTCCCTACTTCTTCACTTCTGTGTTAACAGAAACAGGGCTTAGGAAAATCATTGTTTTCTTACACTTCACTTCAAAATATTCTCTGTGCTCCAGTTAGCTGAAATAACATTTTGTTGGACTCAATTTCTATGTCCTATTGAAGAGTCAGGCTGCCTGTGGATGGTGCCAAGTCAGTAGGTGACCATATTGCCTGTACAGACTGGGTTTAAGGAGGTATGTCAATGCATAAAGTTGCTTTTGAAACAGAACAGTTGTTTTACAACTATCTGGAAATACGGGCAGAATTATGTCATCCAGAGATTGTACATCTCCATTGCCATGGCCATGCTTGGATTTTTAGGTTCAGTGCCTTTAGCCTGATTCTTTATTGGAACAATACCTTGCTCCTCACTACTGTGTGGACAGAACAGTATTCTAGAAGAGAGCATCAGAGATTACATTGTGTATGGGGCTGCTCTGTAGAGTAGCTGCTCTGTAGGGTGCCCATTCTTACCCGTATCCATGGCCAAAAGTGCCTACAATGGGCACGTGAGCATCAGAACAGGACAAAGGAGCAAAGGAAGAGGGTGGCCTGGTCTGATGAATCGCATTATCTTTTACATGATGTGGATGACTGGGTGTGTGCATCACTTACCTGGGGAAAATATGATACCAGGATGCACTATGAGAAGAGGGCAAGCCCACATGGAAGAAAAATATATTTTAAATATATTTTAAAAATATTCTTCCCAAATATATTCACATATATTTGAAATACTACATTTTTGGGCGTATTCAATATATTTCAATAAATAAATATAGATATATATTTATATATATACACACACACATATAAATTAATATCTATATACTGTGTATATATATATATATATATATATATATATATATATATATATACTGTATTTTTATTACAAAATATATGGAAAATATTTTAAAGAATAAATTTTCAAATATACTGTATATATATATATATATATATATATATATATATATATATATATATATATAGTGTGTATATAGTATATTTGAAAATTTACGTATCTTTCATATATTTTGTAATAAAAATGCATTTAAACATACAGTGTGTGTTTATGTATGTGTATATATATATATATATATATATATATATATATATATATATATAATTTATTTATTTCAGGTATTTAAAAAGCACTGTTAATTTACGCAGCGCTTTACATATATATTGTACATTCACATAAGTCCCTGACCCTCAAGGGGCGTACAATCTAAGGTTCCTAACCCACATGCATATACTAGGGCCAATTTAGACAGGAACCAATTAACCTCCCAGCATGTCTTTAAACATATATAATGTTTAAATGCATTTTTATTACAAAATATATGAAAAATGTTTAAAAAAAATACATTTTCAAATATACTGTATGTATTTAAAAATACATTTAATCTACATTTTTGGAATGCATTTGCAAATATATGTAAAAATATAAGTTAAAAAATGACTTTTTTATATGTTAAAAAAAAATCTGAAGAATATTAAAAAAAAAAAAAAAGTTTCATATATTTTGTAATATATAAAAAACGCATTTCAATATGCAATGCAATATATATATATATATATAATATATTTTGAAATATATTGAATACGGCCAAAATTGTGGTATTTCAAATATATTATTATTATTATACAGGATTTATATTATTATTATTATTATTATAATACAGCATTTATATAGCGCCAACAGTTTGCTCAGCGCTTTACAATATAACGGGAGACAATACAGCAACAATACAGTTCAATACAAGAGGGAAAGGAGGGCCATATATGTCAATATATTTGGGAAGAATATTTTTAAACTAGATTTAAAATATATTTTTCTTCCATGTGGGAGCCGGTAAAAACAATGTGATGCTTTGCATATTGGCGTCCAGTCCTTGAAAAGTCAGGGCTGTTTTGAGAGCGAAAGGGAGACCTACTCAAAATTAAGTGGGTGGTCATAATGTTATGGCTGATTGGTGTATTTACGTTTCCTATTCTGAGCAAGGCACCTGTCACCTAGAGAGTACTCTGAGCAGGTCATAGACTCTGCCTCTGTATACACCGCTTCCCTGTACAAGGACAATTTGCATTTATAGCAGCATTCAGCATCTGTATGAAATAACAAGTAGGAATTGGAACTGTGCCTGTGCAATCACTGTGTTGTGACAGGTTAAATACACAAAATGACCATTGACAAAACCTGTTCAGTCTATTCAGTTCAGTCATTATGACTGCGGATAATAGGAGGAAAGAGCCTTTCCATAACAGTGCTACAGCTTGTCATAGAACTCTGGATCAAGCCTTGGTGGTCATCATGGGTGGTGTCTTGCCGGTTCATCAATCTGGCTTCACTCCAAGGTTCAGCGGTGCCTGGAAAAGCTTCCTGTGTTGGATGATAACAGGTGTGTCACCCGGAGAACAATACCCAGAAACAGGTGTGTGCGACTCAACATCAAATGCCAGGAACTTGACTTCATCAACACACACTCCATTCTCAGCAAAAAATCACCCAAAGACAAACTTACTGGCCTGCAGAGACAATTAGGTGAGGATAAGCATATGTTTGGCAGAAATACCAAAGTGTCAGAGAGGACGTGAACATTCAGAGTCAAAGGTTCATGCGCTATAGGGATCCATTGTTAAATAACATTTGCTAATTTAATTTAATTTGCCCCCTTTCGTATTACGAAGAGGAATTTTGCATTTACCCCCACCCCCCCCCTTACAAGTGAGATTTTAATTAAAGGTGGAGCCTGTTGGACTAAGGCAGGCCATAGATTATGCAATTTTCTTTCCTTCCACCAAGGAAGGAAAGAAAATTGCTTGATCCCCCCATCCACACAGTTAGTGTGGATGGGGGAATCCCTACCGTAGTGCTATTGTGTTCTGCTGGTGGGTAGAACACGATGATTAGTGTTGCTGGTGGCACTACTCGTTCTGGGAAAAAATGGACAGGCTGGTTGTACAGAAGTCAATCAATACTGCCGATCTCCTCCACTCTTCCTAACACTCCATCCCCCACAGCTTTTCCTCCCGTACCACTATCCTCTCCCTCCTAGATTGTAAGCACCAAGGAGCAGGGCCCTCGAACCCCTCGTGTATCGTATTGTATTGTTATTGTACTGTCTCATGTATTGTCTCCCATTGTAATGTACAGCACTAAAATAATTGCATTTCCATGTTGTGTGTACTGTGGGAGACCAGATATGGTGAATGCAGGGGCCAGGGAGACCAGATCTAGGGAATGTAGGGTCCAGGCAGACCAGATCTAGGGAATACAGGGTCCGGGGAGACCAGATCTAGTGAATGCGGGGTCCGGGGAGACCAGATGTAGTGAATGCGGGGTCCGGGGATACCAGATCTAGTGAATGCGGGGTCCGGGGAGACCAGATATAGTGAATGCAGGGTCCAGGGAGACCAGATATAGTGAATGCAGGGTCCTGGGAGACCAGATATAGTGAATGTAGGGTCCAGGCAGACCAGATCTAGGGAATACAGGGTCCGGGGAGACCAGATCTAGTGAATGCAGGGTCCGGGGAGAGCAGATATAGTGAATGCGGGGTCCGGGGAGACCAGATCTAGTGAATGCGGGGTCCGGGGAGACCAGACGTAGTGAATGCGGGGTCCGGGGAGACCAGACGTAGTGAATGCGGGGTCCGGGGAGACCAGATGTAGTGAATGCGGGGTCTGGGGAAACCAGATATAGTGAATGCAGGGTTCGGGGAGACCAGATATAATGAATGCAGAGTCCGGGGAGACCAGATATAAGGAATGCAGGGTCCGGGGAGACCAGATATAGGGAATGCAGGGTCCGGGGAGACCAGATATAGGGAATGCAGGGTCCTGGGAGACCAGATATAGGGAATGCAGGGTCCTGGGAGACCAGATATAGGGAATGCAGGGCCCGGGGAGACCAGATATAGTGAATGTAGGGTCTGGGGAGACCAGATATAGGGATTGCAGGGTCCGGGAGACCGGGATTCCCGACCTTCTCCACTCTTCCTACCACTCCATCCCCCACAGCTATTTCCTCCCGTACCACTATCCCCTCCCTCCTAGATTGTAAGCTCCAAGGAGCAGGGCCCTCGAACCCCTCGTGTGTCGCATTGTATTGTTATTGTACTGTCTCATGTAATGTATAGAGCTGAGAGAACTGTTGGCGCTATATAAATACTGTATAATAATAATAATACAACCAGGGTACCCATACATGGACTGAAGGAGCCTGGAAAGCATTGCACCAATATTTATTATATTGTTGCTTACCAGGGGCGGACTGACAACTCATGGGGCCCCCGGGCAATAGGTAATCATGGGGCCCCTGTGTCCTTGCCCACACTCAAACCACACCCAAAAAAGAATATGAAAGGTACCAGGAGCATTTCATGGGGCCCCCTATTGACCCAGGGACCTCGGGCAGTGCCCGAATGCCTAAATGGTCAGTCCGCCCCTGCTGCTTACCAATTCTTAGATGTGATGGTTGCTTTTGTTTTCTTTTTGAGGCTTTCTTTCTATTTTTAACTGGTGATCTGGCCAGTAAGTCTGTCTTGCAGAATGTATTAGTTACAGGGATCAGACAAACTATTTACCACTGACAGGGGTGCTTACAATGATCCGTTTTTATGTACTTTTGTTTATAACTCTAGAACTACCCTCTTGAGGGCCGTTGGATTTGCTTGGGTCCCCCTAAGCTCTGCACGGCCAGGCAACATGCATTTTTCCACACTTCAGAGTCACTAAACAGTCCTTGAGCTGGTTTTTAGTTGATTTTATTAAAGGGGTTAGCAACTTGAATGGGGTCTAAGGGTGTATGGGATGCCCTTGGAACTGTAGAACTTGAGGACAAAGTTCTTAGCAACTACAGTATTTTCTGGCGTATAAGACTACTTTTTATACTTAAAAATATACCCCAAAAATTGGGGGTCGTCTTAAACGCGGGGTATAAAATGTAAACCTTGAGTTTGTTTGGGTCAAGCTGGCTGGATGTGTGGTGAATGTACATACAGTATACCGCGCTGAGCCAAGCTGGCTCAAAACAAATGTCCCTATAACAGATTAATCTGTCAGCCTGCTGAATGTGCGGTGAGCCAAGCGGTTTCAAAACGTACCGGTATATCCCTACTGTAATCAGCCCGCTGGATTTGTGTATGTATGGTAGCTGCGGCTACATACAGTATACGCTGGGCCAATCACGGATTTTAAAGGATTTTAAGTACTGGTAAGTCACAACCATTTCAATTAAAAAATCTGATGTTTTTAAATGGTGTTGCCTCGGAAGGGGGGTAGTCTTATACGGCGAGTATAGCCCAAAACCTATGTTTTAACTGGAAAATTAGGGGGTCGTCTTATACACCCAGTCGCCTTATACGCTGGAAAATACGGTATGTACAAAAATGTGAACTAGCAGGAAAAATATATAGCACTCAGGGGCGGGCTGACCATTTGGAAACTCGAGCCCTGCCCAAGGGCCCAGGGTCAGTAGGGGGCCTCATGAGATGCCCCTGGTACCTTTTTCATAGGCTTTTTTGAGTTTGGGCAAGGACACAGGGGCCCCATGATCCCCTATTGCCCGGGGGCCCCATGAGTTGTCAGTCCACCCTGAGAGCACTGTTCCTTTTTCTTGCTGGTGTACCTCCTCAGACCACAGATGAATCCTCCTCGCCACCCAGCTGTACTGAGAGTATCCCTGAACAAGGGGGTCCCAAGAGCTTGCAGTTAAAGATTCCCAGATGAAGAGTAGTTGGGTATTACACCTGACCAGGGGGTGTACGAGTATTACACTGTCCTCGCCTGCTAGCATGGTGGATTGGTGGCTGCCTTTAAGCCTTAAACTGGGTTGGCTCCATCCCTGCTAACAGATTGTCCTCACCAGGAGACGTTGAGGCGGTAAAGATCCTCCCATCTAGCAAGCAGCCTGTAGGTAGACTCCTCTCCCTGGGGCCCCCTCCCAGGCTGCACACTCCAGCCTTCCTCTCAGTTCATTTTCCACCTGACTCCCCTGCTCTCCAGACTCTGTTGTATTAGAGGGTTGTCCTGGCCACCATGTCCAGCCTTCTGCCAGGGGATTGGCCAAGGTCCCTCAAACATGTAGACCTGGGCCTTCTCGCTTCCTCCGCCCCTCTTCCAGAAAGTTCTTCAGTCTCTGGAACGGTGGGAGGGTTCCAGAAACCCTGACCTGTAGGACCTCTCAGCTTGTCCTGAGGTGAACTCTTGCCTCTCTCCCAGGTTGACTCATCCCAGGCTGCTACTCTATCTAAAAAAACAACAAACCTAGCTAAGCTAGAGGGTGTTACAAAATCTTTATCCCAAAAAGAAAAAAAAACAATGTTTGCTGTAACTGCTTATAAAGTGTTAGGAAAGAGTTTGGCTTCCATTTGTCAGTGCATTTAAATTTGCAAGTACATGTAACCCTCTTTTTTCCCCTGGACTGACAAAGCTGCTGTCCAAAGGTGCTATAATACAGGAGGTGTGTTACTGGCTAGATTACCAGGTGAAAACAGAGGGAGAAATCCTAAAAAAAAAAGTAAAACTAATGCAACCACTACATCTAATGATTGGTAAGCTGCAATATATAACATTTTTGGTTTTGGGTTTAATACTGCTTGAATGCCAGAGCCTTATTTACAGGGGCTAAATGGCCATGCATGGGGCCTAATTCAACACATAACAGAAGGGTACATCAGAATTGAGAAAAAGTGTCTGGGGAATTCACTGTATTGTGACACTCTTTAGAATTCCCTCACTCCTCAACACATCAAATGTCTGTATAGGGGACTGTTGGGAACAAGTACATAGATTTCTCTTCTCTGGAGTGGGCAGCATTGAGGTTGGTATGTCCATACCATGAGCACTCCATCCTCAGAGCCTATTCATCCCCTTGCTAGCTTGTACTCTATTGGCAGTGCAGCGGAAAGGGTCATAGTAGATGGATGACTCAACCCCATCACCGACAGGCAGAAAGATTCCCCAACTGACAGCTGAAAGTAAAGGGGCAGGAATGCCAGTGAGATCATTGTCCAAATATATAGTAAATTTAGACAATGACGTAATCAGCATCCCACCCCTTTGTTTACTTTCAGCTGTTGGTTGGGAAATCTCCAATGAGTATTCGATTGCTACAACTCTGGCGGCTGCTGGTTTCATAGCGAACAGGGGGAACTTTGCATATTCATGACACCTTCCCAGCATAATATGCCCTGGTCACATACCTGATTGGAGACTGAAATGACGAGGTCGGCCTCACTTGTGTCACTAGCCCTGACCCTACTGGAAGTGGAACGGAGGGTGTCTAGGGACCAGGGGGACAAGAGCGCCAGCAGATGTTGTTTGAGACTTTGGAAGGCTGATAAACTTCTGACTCAGGAACAGTAGTGATATGCAGAGCTAGTATGGTAGATCGCCAGGCATGCACCAGAGCAAGGCAGGAAGCAGGGATGGGAGACAGGAGCAGTGTCATAGGAATAGCCGGGGTCATCAACGGGAGGACAGCGAGGTACCAAATCATAAGCAAACCAAAGTCAGGAGCAGAGGCGAAGTCAGGAACCAGTATCAAGCAGGGGAGTAGCCAGAGTCAAGTCAGAAACAAGCCAGGTCAGCAACAAGGATATCACGCAGGAAACGGGGAACAGCTGAAGACCAGTCAGCACAGGCAAAGGCACCTTTTAAATAGTCCGTCTGGCGCCAATCTTAACCGTGCGTGTACACGTGCGTGATCGTGCATTTCTGTGCACATGCGCACGTCTATTTGCCAGCCGTCTCAAGGGAATTCCCTTATAGCCCTACTCTGAGCACTGGTATTTCTCTGAACACCAACTTGGAGTTGGACTAAATTACCACCAATTTGCTTATCTGCGAAAAGGTAATTCTTTTAGAATCTGTTGCAGCCAAAGTGACAAATTCTAAACGTGGTACTAGTAGGAACTACTTGAATCTGGTACATATATTGGTACTGGTACCAACACTGGCGTAAAGCTTTTATGAATTAGGCTCAAGCCATGTTAAAGGGGTCATAGCACCATAAAAGTGTTATTATTGCATTATTGAATTCTCCCTTCAGTTCCCATCTCTATGCCCTTGGTCATGATATAAATGCAGAGATGAGGACAGGTACATAGATTGTAAGGATGCAGATACTGCAGAGTTTTGGCATATTTGTTGTTCTCAAATTAATATCCTGTTTTTCAGTTAGACTGCAGCTCATTTTTTAAAATGGAAGACTGAATTTCTGGAAAATTAGTGTGAACTCCATTTTCCCTGTACAGCAGGAAACTAAGAACTGTCTGCCAAAATTTTTGCTAATAAAAGTATTAACAAGTATATGCCCACAACAGCAGAGTTTTATTATGCTAGCAATACCTATAATAGTTTGTAAAACAGTCCATGTGCTATGAGAACACCAGGAGAGGGTTACTAGTAAGGTCTGACAGATGGAGTGGCTCTGTGGGGGGCTGCTGGGGTCCATTGGGATGCCATTTCCCCCACCCCACTATCCAGGAAGCTCCTGTCACTCACACCACAGGAGCTGTCTCACTAACAGAACAGCCTGTTCCCATACTGTGCCTGAGCCCATGTGAGCATTGTGCTGGGGCACCAGAAACTCTG